TAAACTGGTTATCCTTGTTAAACACATACTTTGGGGAGTATGGTTTGAATTCTTTTTTCTTTTTCTGGGCCGGCTGTTTAGAGGAATCAGCCGCCCAGACCTCTTTTCTTTTCTCATCTTTGTTGGACGACTGTTTCTGTCGTCCCTCTCTTTTGTCGAACCTCTTCCCGTCCGACTGTTTTATCGTACACAGATCAGTCGCCTGTATATAGGCTTCTGCTTCAATCAAGGCCTCTTGAAGAGTCGCCACCCTTTTTCGAACTAAATCAAATTTAAAGGTAGACCCGTCTTTGAGACCCCTAAAAAAGTCAGTATAAGCTACCTCATCCGGTAACCCTTGAATCTGTATTCTCATCAGGTTGAACCGCCTGATGTAAGAACGAAGCCCCTCCTTCTCGCCCTGCTGAATTGTTCCCAAATCAAGGGTCGTTTTCTTCGCAGGGATGTTCATAGCGAAGTTGGAGGCAAATAAGTAAGCAAGCGTCCTGAAGTTGTTTACACAACCAGTCGGCAGGTTGCCGAACCATTGCTGTGCAATTCCCTTGAGAGTCGCTGGGAAACACTTGCACCAAGTGGGATCATCCAACCCTTGAAGGTACATCAGGTTGGTGAATGCCATCAGATGGTCTTCTGGGTTAGTAGTGCCGTCATAGGCGCCTACTAGAACATTTTTTACTTTGGCCGGCTGAGCGGCTTCAGTAATTTCCTTGGAGAAGGCCGACGGCTGTTCACCAAGTCTAAGCAGCCGTAGCTGCCAGTCCATAGGTTGGACGTTTTTTGCTGCAGGTCCACCAAATGGAGGTGGCTGCATAAAATACTGTTGTTGCGGCACAAATGGTAAGTTTGGTACCGCCTGGGCACTATGAAAGCCGGACTGACGGGAGGTGCCGCCTGACTGACTCTCATGGTACGACTGAGTATGCCTCATCGAGGCATTTGGCAAACTGTCCTGAAAATTTGAAGTAGAAGCCGACTCTGATAATCGATCACTCTTCTTCTGCTCTAGCAGGTGCCGAGCATCTGTGAACGTTTGCTTTGACCCATCCGCCTGAATATGACGAACCGGTTTCCTATTTCCCGTAGGATAACGGAGTTTTGTGAAATCAAGAGCAGGTGGCTCCCGCTTCTTGGATTTAGGATGGGGAGTCGCCTCTCGCCCTTGAACTGGCTTCCTCTTCAGTGAAGTGGAAGGTTTCTTGGCCGACTGCTCTTTGACTGAAGCAGGCGGTTTTTTGTTGATCAACTCTTGAATCTCTCCCTTGAAGTCCCTCATGAAGGTCATGAGTTCGTTCCTTGTGATGGGAGCAGACCCATCAGTCGGCTGTTGCCGAGCAAGCGGTGCGCCTGCTGGCTCGCTTCCTGTTTGAAGATGCTCCCGTTCCCTCCTTTCGGTATGACGGGTACGTCGGGCCCTTAGGGTCCCGTCTGGAGCTGTATGAGTTTCAACTTCAAATTCACTTTCGGTATCATGGTCCGACTGAACTTGAGGGTCGTCTAGGGGACGCCTCTCTTCTGGAGTCGGTACAGACTTGGATGCCATCTCTGAAGTACTCTCCCCACAGACGGCGCCAAATGTTTCGGAGTTTTCTGATGTCCTGCGGGAGAGTTACAATTCCGAGACTGGAACCGGACGCCTGTACCTACAAAATAACGGAGACTCCTGAGAGCTCCGCCTCCAACGGTCAAGTTAGTACCTGATTAAGGAGTAATTAATACAGAAATTAAAGTAATGAGATCTCTCTAGGTGAGAGTGCTTAGTGTTGGTAATCTGCGTCGTTAGCGAGATTAGCCGATTGTTAATAACTCTGTTCTTCTCTGCTTGATCTCTTCATTATTCGATCCTTTGATTAATGAGGATTAATTGAGTATTTATAGCCTTGAGAAGCGTGCAACTCTCTAGGTTTAAGGTAAACCTAGGGCTGATCGGGCCTCTAGACTGGATTGGGCCTTGGTGGCCGGTTCTCCCACTTGGCATGGGTGGACACGTGGCGTGTCTAAAGTGGTCCGTAGAGGACGTATCTGTGATTGACACGTGGCAGGCTCCTGTTGGCCTTCGTGAAGGACACGTGGCGGAACCTGGTTGGTCCACTTGTCAGACGGTGATTGGTGGATAAAAATCCCCTAATCACAAGCCATTCTCTTATTATTTGGTCTGCAAGCTCTGTAGAATTAGTGATACACATTTTCCTTTTTCTTATATTAATTATGTTGCGAACAACTAATATTTTAGGTGTTAGTCTGTGTGGTTCAATACTCTGCTTCATAGTTCAGACTTGAGTTTCTCATGCATTTATCACATGAGGAGGGCTTGGGGTGGTGATGGTGATGTTTTTAGCTGCAATGGACATTGCCATTATGCAACATATTACATTAGAAATTGTAGTGCGTTTTTAAATAATTGACAATGGTAAAATAATCAATATTACAATTCGATACAATTATCATTGGGTCCGGTTAGATTTTCTTCTAGTTGAAGTAGGTAAATTGTTTGACATATTTGAAGCTCCAATAAGTAAAGTCATGTTCTCATCATCAACTGAATTTTGCTAAACTGAACTTATTTTTTATTGAACTGAACCTATTTTGTAGAAACCTGAACAAATATTTTACTTGACTTAACTTATATTTACTGAGCTGAACTTATTATTATCGAACTGAATTTATTTCTACTGAACTAAACTTATATTGACTAAAACTTATTAGAATAAGTTGACGAGAACATGAATGTTCAGATCATGCATCAAGTAGGAGATAGTTTTGAAAAATCGAATACAGGCCGTTTTGGGAGATAAGACCCGTATCCTTAATTAATTAATACAGAGTATGGGTTATGCATTTTGGGCCTTAAAGCTACCCACTACCCACCCGCTCTTTCACTATCTTCTTCTTCCCTATTACCATTACTCTGTAGATTATTTATTACTACAATAATCAATCCATCAATCTTGGGTTTACATTAATACGCTTCAAGTTTTGCCTTCTCTTCTCTTCTCTTCTTCCAAGCAATTATTGGTATTCGTTTTACGGAGTAAGTAATTTCATCTTTTCTTTTCTGAATACTAATAAATTTCATGCATGATCTAACAGATTATGTGATTTTTTTTAATTAATTCTTCGTTTTTTTCGGTATAATTGTTGTGTTTATTCCGACTTTGAGTTGTATTAATCTGATATTAATTTTTTTTTGTTGTAATATAATTTGATTAGCTTTGTTATTTCAATAATTAGGATTTTCCAGTGTTTTGTTGATAATTATTTATACGTTTAGAGCGATTTTTTTGGCGAACATAAAAGAAAGTTTTGTCGTGGCGAATTTCAGGTTTAGCGTTTAGCTCTAGAAAATTTTCATTTTCACCCTAAAGTTTCAATCTTTCCATTGAAAGATTCAATATTTGAAGTGAAAGTTTCAATCATTCATGTCAATGTTTCAAACTTTAATCATATTAGCTTCATGGTATAATGGGTGTAGCAACTCATTTAATATTTCCATGCATATGTATTAGTATGTTTGGCCGATTTTTCTCCATTGCCCTTGTCAGTGGCGGATTAAGCGTGTTCAACTGAACCCACGTGGACTTGGAAAAAAATTGCTTTCTCCGTTTCACAACAGTCGCTAAACTTTTAAAATTACATATCCTAGGTAATCTTTTAGAGAAGAGAAAGATAGAGAGAAAGAAAAAAAGGGACCCACGTGAGAGGAGAGAGATAGAAATAATTTTTTGCTTAAAAAAGAAGTGTAGCAAGTAATTGAAACTTCCTTAAATAGAAAGCATAGCGAGTAATCCGAAACGGGGGAAGTAGAAGTTTTTATTTTTTTATTTTAAAAAAAAAAAGTTAAATAAAGGTTATAAAATGCGCGATAATAAATTTTATATTAGGAGATGGTCCAGTGGTTGGTGCTCCTCGTTTTTGGGGAAAAATTACCAATCTAAGCTTCATTATCAAACAATGTTCCATATAAACGCGTGACAAAACTATTTACCAAACTAAGCCAAAGGGTAAACGCCATACAATTTTTTTACAAAAAAACATTTTAGTTAGTTGTAAAACGCTATCCTGGATGGCGTTTTACTCCTAACTGAAATGTAAAAAAAAATATTCAAAATGTAAAACGTAGAGGTGATCAAACTTGGCCCGGCCTGACCTGGCCCAATTTTGGGCTGAAAATTTATTTTTTTGGGCGGGTTTGGAAATGCGTTTTTATGTATATTTTAGTTGATTTTTTTGGCCCAGCTCGACCATTTTGGGCGGGTTTGGGCACAAAAACTTTGGCCCGAAGCTTGGCCCGAGAAATGGGCATAAATTTTTTAGCTTTGGTCCGGCCCGGCCCGTCCAATGATCACCTCTAGTAAAACGCCAACGTGGAGGGCATTTTTGTCTTCTGCATAAAACTTCAACCACGCTGGAGTTTTTGCATAGGAGTAAAACGCCAACCACGTTAGAGTTTTTACATCGGGTAAAATCTGCTATGTTCTTCAGTCAGAGGTGAAACGCCATCTAGGGTAGACTTTACCCCTAACTGAAATGTTTTAAAAAAAAAATTGTGAAAGGGTAAAACGCTATCCTAAATGGCGTTTTACCGTCAAGTTCAGTTTGATAAATAATTTTGCCACTCGTTTAATATGGAGTATAGTTTCTTAACGAAGCTTCCTTTGATAATTTTTCCCGTTTTCAGACGCGGGCCATGATCAAATGTGGTGACTCGGTGAGTAACACAAACCTGATTTTTTTTATTTTTTTTTTTTTCATTTTATGATATCCCAATTTACAAAACAACTCTCACCTCTCACCTCAAACCCCAAACCCTTTATTCGCTCCTTGCGGCGCTGCCTCCCAGGCTCCACGGCGGCCGGCGTTGGTTGGCTCGGCTCGGCGTCTCCAAATCGCTACACTCCTCGCTCTCTGTCCTACTCGCCTATCATTCTCTCAAATCTTTGTATGTGTAAATGTCTAATTACAAAAATTAATTTGTTGTTAATAGCAGTTTATTTATCTTTTTAGCTTGTTCATCTTGTTAATTAATTTACAGTTTTGTTGTTTAATTGTTATTTTAATAGTTTATTTGAATTGTAGTTGGGTTGAATACTGGAGTTGTGGATTACTTGATTTATAATTGCAATTTGATATGTTGTTTGTTAACTTATATGCTTGCTGACTGATGTATTCCGGAAGGACCTTGATGGTCTTATTTGATGTTGTCTGTTCTACATTAGTTGTTTCCCCTGGAGGTTTTATCTGTATTTTGTTAGTAGTTTCTTTTGGGGGTTTTTTTGGTATAGGGCAGCCATGTGCTTTCTGTATGTATTTCAGAAATAGTGCGCATATCTTGAGATATACACCCGGGTGTTTAATCGAATTTTCTACGGGTAAATCCTAGTTATTTATTGGAGGAAAACAATCTCTATCCATGGTATTAGAAGTTCCTAGTTTGTTTGATTAGCCGCTTTTGTGTGTAGGGATATGGGGATAGAGAGAGAGCAGAGTAGCACATCCGAAGCCGAAAGAGAGGAAAAAAGAATTGTGATGCTGGCATGGAGCGATGAACGCTTGCCTTCGGAAAGACTACAAGGTGGTACTCAATTATATCACACTCGTGCAGAATTTCACTCGGTGGATCTGAAGCACAATATATTAACTCGTTCTTGCTTTCCTTCAATTATCATGACTAAGTTCTTTTCATCTGCCATGGTGTCATCTTTGAATAAATTTATCTACTTAGTGGGAGTGGGAGGAGCGCGATTATCTGTTGTCCAATCATCTAATGAGTCTTCCTCTTCCAACCACACATTCTACTCCGGCGGTTCATGTCTTGACATGTCTGATGAGGCTCCAGTGTGGTGTCCAGCTCCTGTCTTCGTTGAGGATCACACTTCTCCCAACTATGTTAGCTTTCTTGGCAATATTTACAACTTTGGATCTGTTTGCCTTGCGCCCCAGGTTCTTGAATGTGGTGCCCTTGGCCACTGTAAGTCAATTCGCTATCTCCCTATCCCTCAAAGCCTTGCTGGTTGTAGTGTGTCTGTTCCTGTACTTCCCGACCCTTCCAACAAACGCATTCTTATGCGCCTCTATGGTGGTCCCCTTTCGTCGCCTTCCCTCTATGCTTTCACTCCCGATCCTGATGCTGATGCTATTGGGACATGGGAATGTCTCACCTCTGATTTCCATCTCTGGGCTCATGCTGCTGCTGTTGTTAATGGGGTCATATATTTTCACTGCCATAAAGTTCCATCTCTTCTTTGTGCTTTTCATATAACCAAGAAAATATGGTTGAAAGTCGGGTGGGATTCGTGCTTTAAGGACAATGTTAATATGAATGTCGAAACAAATAAATTCGATGCAATGCTTCATTTGGGCCACAATATTTTGTGCTTTGCTGGTTGGACACCAATATATTACCGGACTGCTGTTTTTACCATCGAAGTCATATTTTACAAGTTCCAAGTGTTGGTCACCGGTGAAACTGTAACCGTCAAGGTCTGTGACTCCTACTCATATGAACTTCCGGGAAGTACCAATGTGTATCATTTCCTCCCCATTTAGCAGGTACTCTTCTCCATCTTACCATCTCTTATTCTTGCTATTATTCTGTTACTTACTATCAAGGTATTTTACTGCCTCTTTTAATGTGGATTCGATTTATAATGCTAAATTTGTTCATCAACTTAGTTGAAAGAGGCATTGTTGGATAAATTTTCATTCCCAAAAATTTGCACTAGTGATTAATTTCCGAGTCTTGTTTCTTTTTGTTATTTGATAGCTCTACGAAGGAGTAGAGTTTTCATATTAATTATGAAGTTCTTGATGGCGTTCGGCTGTTTTCTAATGTGCTATTGTGTTCAAATCTCACATACATCATGCCTCGTAGTCTAGAACCTGTGGTTGTTTGATGCTCTTTGATGATTGGAGTGATTGTATTTCGACGGTACTTTAAAGGAAAACATAATGCAGAATTTATTAGACAAGTGTGAAAGATGTGAACCTGAAAAGAACACATGATGAAACAAAGTGAGTCTTTTTATAAAAAAATTCAAGATCACCAAAGATACGGCAAGCCTTAAACCAAAATATAATAATCATTTAGAATCTTCTCATAGATGTGCCAAGAAGCATTAGGAAATTTGTTGGAATGAATTGAAGTATAAACTTGGGTTTCAGGTGTAGGCCACTGGATGCTCCTGCATGATCAGCAAAACTCATGCAGATTGACCACTTCAAAAAGGCGCTCTTGCTTGTGGAGTGAAATTCAGCTGAATGAAAAACTGATATGTGATCTTAGTTTTAAAAGCGGGTGCCTAAGCGTGACACTGGGCTCAAGGTGCACTTGGGTGCCAAGAAAAACACCTCTGGAGGCTGAGGCACATACCCCTTCGAGAGGCGCAAAGGCGCAGGCTTTTTGGGCTTTTTTTTGTTTATTTTTCATTTTTAAACCTTTTGAGCCTAACCCACTAGAGGCGCACACCCCTCTTGCGCCTAGGTGCACCTCTTGCATGTGATTAAGCTGAATTCTTTTAATTTCATATTCTCTCCATAGAGGAAGAGGTAGTTAATCTCTCTGCAAAGGTAGTTAATGGATTCTGTAAGGTAAAAAAAAAAAAGGATATAGCCTTTTGAGTTCTAATGCATTGATGATTAGTTAAATTGCACTTTAGGGCCTTGTCACTTCTGTTAACTAGAGGTTTGAAATATTCCCACTTAATACTATGAGTCCATGACCCATGAGGTACAATGGTTGAAATTCCATCTAATTTGATAATTTTATAGGTGCAAGTGTGTAACAAAGTGTGAGAATCAACTGTGAACATAATATTGGATTTTCATATAAATTTGCAAGAATTGCATTATTATGACGGTCTAAACCGCCTGTGATCTGGTTGAAATTTTCACTATATCCTTGTGTTGACCAAAGGGAATCACCAAAGTTCATGAATACCAAATTGGAAATAAACCAAACACCAGGACACTAAATGGGAAATGCCAATCCTGACCCTCCCGGCAAAGAACTTCTTGATCCCTATAGACGAGGCGGGTACATTTTGCTTCGCTTTCGCTCCTTCGTCGTCAGGACTATCCATCATAGGAAACATTCAACAAGAGGGTATTCAAATATCTATTGATGGTTCCAATGGTTTTGTAGGATTTGGACCTAATATCTGCTGAATGTTTATGAAGTTATGAACACCAAGCAATTGATTGAATTACCAATTTTATAGTCATCATACTACTACAGTATAGAAGTAACTCTAATAAGTAGTATAGTAATAGTATTATAGTAATACTGGATCCCCCTTTGTAAAGTTAAATTACGGAGTATTTTTTTTTCTTTTTGCAATTTTGGCCTATATTTTTACTCTTTTTCTAGTCAACTTTTGTTACTGCTATGATCGATTATGATTGTATTGATAAGTGTAATTGATAAATAAAACCATATATTATGTTTATGAAGTATGTAATAGTATGATAATCTATCTGTACACACGTGAGCTTGCATATAGTAGTATATGTTTAGACTTTATTAATTAATCAAGTTTAAGATCGAAAAAGGGATGACAATTAACATAATTTATATTTATTTGGGTGCAAGAATTGGTGTTCAGATTAAAGAGAACATGAAGTATAATAGTGGGGTCATCAATAATTCTTGATGTTTAGGTGATATTCAAAGAGAGGGTAAAAGGTTTGTGTGGGAAAAAGCTAATTATAGTAGTAGACAGTCAAACAAAACAATATGCAATTATTACCATTTTCCAGGTTACAAGGGCAGCCCACTAAGGGTGACCCTTTTGGACAACTGTAAGAATCCAAAGGTTTTTCTTGTTACATATTTTAATTTAACATATTTATATAAATAATTAATAATAATTTTACAATATGGTCAATTATATCCTGTACCTGACTGCCTAAGTCCTTCGAGAGCATGAAACATCATACTCTTAATAAAGCGTTTGTATAGAAGGTTTAGCCTAACACGGTGCATGGATTTCAAAGTTCACATGCAATTTTGTTCTCTTCCAAAAAATTGGGAAAAGCTTTATTGAAAGGCCGATGTAACCCTTACAGTGACAATGAAGAATTCTAAGCACGATACACGACCTATCACTGGCGACACTTATGGCGGCGAGGGCAGTAGTCTACCAATAATCTTAAATAGAGGTGTTAGTAGTAGTGAAAGTAATTTAAGAAAGTTGATATTACAAATAAAAATGCAAAAATGGGTGACAATGACATACAAGAAGTTGTTTGTCCAAACGCACCATGCACCTTCCTATCTTTGGCAGCACTTTTTTTTATCAAATAACAGTGAAATGAAATGCAGAGACATAACAAACACAAATAAAAGAAAAAGGGGTTTTAGAGATGATGAACCACAAATAAATCTGTTTGTGGCTAGGCTGTGTGTGTACATGTGAAGGCATGAGTAAACTTTCTTTAACTGCATTTACATACTTAGGTGCTTGGATTAGAGTCCTAAGACTTTTTTACTCTGCAAAGATACTACTGACTTTTCCCCTCTTTTCAATGATTTTTTACACTAAAGATGACCCAACCCCAAATCCCTTCCTTTTTCTGCTTTTCATGCCTCTATTAGCCATTCATTTTTCAGCTAACTCAGTACTTTCTTTTATCCCCAACCCTCACATAATACACATAGAAATCCGAACCCTCACGAAACATGGGAAGTAACTAGATATCTAAGTGTCTAACTTGTTAAAAAACTGTTTCTAAAGGCTAAACTGAAGACTATAATACATGAAATCGGACTGATTTACAAGTTTTTGGGGATGTTAAAAAAAAAAAAAAAAAAAAAGTAATGGTGCATGATGCATCTCGTGGTCATAAGAGATTGTTTGCAACAATATACATTCAATAGTCAGTGACATAAAGGCTCGAGATAATCTTGAGTCAATGATGATAAAACATGTTCATAACTAGCTAAATTGATTGTTATGAGGCAAAATAGATGGTTCCAACCATCCTAGTGGCCTCCCAAGGTCACATGGTGTTGATGGGAATCTCCTCGGCCTCTATCCTTTCCAGGTTCAAAGTCTTCGAAAATTTTCTAACATTGAAGGTTATAATACACAATTTCAAATAGACGATGACAAAACTGAACAAACCCAACAACGATAATCCAAAACTCCAAATGGTTTTTATAACATTCATCACTGCGACTGGTGATTTCAACGTAACTTACTATTCCCCTAAACTCATGGCAGCCCTTCAACGACACTCCGTACATAGTAATATTTGATCGCACAATATTCTATCAGTGTTAAAAGAACATGATTTTATGTCGATGTTGTGAGGATTTGATCAGTGTATACATTTGGAAAGATGAAGAACCAAGTTCATCAAACCTCAAAACACCGTTTGCCATCTTATCATCCACTTCCTTGGTGAAAAAGCAACTTTAGATATATGACTACAGGTCTACAGCTAAGATTAATAAAAATAAATTTCATTATTTACATAGTATATGCTAGCCTTCTCACCCCCCAAACAAGTCTGGTGGCTTCCAACAAAAAATTATGTTCAAAGGATGAAAGAAACTAACCTAAAATTCCCACCGAAACACCTAAGACTATTGCTGGGAACCACCACTGGCAAACAGGGCTCATAAGACGCCCAAGAGTTCAACTATTCACACATGCAACCAACAAAACATGGAGGGGGGTAATTGAAAAATGAAGCCATAAAATTTTATATGCCTCGACTACCGAGAAAAATGTATTTGAGATCATCAATAGTGAGACGAGCTCCAGAACCAGAGACATGGTCTTCACCAAATGCAGATGCCACAATCTTCCTCTTCTCTTCCTGCAGTTCACCCAATCAGACAAGGGAACCTTGTGCTCCAGGGGCAAATTTGCAAAATTCCATACATATCAACCCGGCCCAAAGAAATTTGCAAAATTCAATACATATCAAGAGAGTACCCGGCCCAAAGGAAATATAAGTTCATAAATAGAAAGGTAAATCTTAATTAAAATCCCTACACAATTCAATTATTCAGAATGATTTTCTTGATCGTAGAGGGTTGTATTAGCAAGACAGAATTTCAGGCATCTGGCTTAATTTCTGTTGATTAAATTAATTGAGGAATTGTCTAAGAAGCTGGGCAGAAGACGGAGGACATATCTTTACTAGGTCAAGCATGTTTTTTTGATATAGCGAGATACTATACGCTTAGATCTTTTAGAGCAAATTGTTTAAACAGACTGCTCCTCAAATCATTGTACTTTCAACATGCCCCAATGCACAACTTATGTATAGAAGCCCAAGCTACAGCAATATTCATACGATGGAAAAGGTAAAACAGAGTTGGATAATTAATTATTGCATTTCGGAAATTATTCGACTTAGTCTAGCTGCCCGGACTTGACTCTTAGGTCTCTTATGCTCCTTTAATTTATACGATCAACACAACCTGTCAATTTAGCCTCCAAGGTGGCTTTAAACTAGGCAAATTTTAAATTCCTATGCAACAAGAGAATTATTACAGAATTTACTCTATACACTAAAGCAGCAGTAAACATATCATAAAGCATTAAAAAGAAACACGGGAGAAAATTGAATGTGGCACACAATACCTGGAGAGCCAAAATACGATCTTCGACAGTGTCTTTGATGGTAATCCTTGACACTGTAACAGGCCGAGTTTGCCCAATACGATGTGCTCGATCAATTGCTTGGTCTTCTGTGCTTGGGTTCCACCAAAGATCCAAAAGGATAACATGGCAAGCTGCAACCATGTTCAACCCAAGGTTACCAGCTTTAAGAGACATCAGCATGACAGTGACCTACAAGGAAGCCCACAAAATCAGATTTAAAATCACAGAAAAATACAAGAGCACGCCAAGGAAAACCACCCCAAAAGCTAAAACAAAGATCAACAGATACCAAAATCCAGGTATAAGACTATCGGCACCCTAAGGCAATAAGGATCCTAGGATCTCTTGAGGTGTGAGCTTCAAAGAAGAGAAGCACAACTTTAGATATACAGACGTGTATAAAAGAAAAGGTTGTAGGCATGAAATTGCAGCTAATGTACCTATAAACACACCATAGAGTTCCTCATCAAAGAGCCACACCCAAAACTTTCTAAGAGCATAGGCAGCAGCGCCTAGGCATGCCATTTCAAACACACAAGAATCAACATTGATACTAAGGTCACTAACCCAAATACTCTATAAAGGCTCCCCTCGTCAGTGGGCTAATGGGGGATGGATACACACAACCTTTTATCCTTGATGTAATATGCAACAAAATTCTGCAATTTTTTATTAAATAGTGAAGCTGAGTTGCTGAATGTCTGATTAGCCCACTATAATCGCAAACCAAAATATAATTAATTTTTTCTCCATTGAAAATGTACATAGTGATGGAACGCACGCAAATGTGCACAAATTATATCTATGCTAGAGCATGTTAACTAACTTAACTAAGATACTGATTGGAGCATAAATTCTCTTAAACCATCTGTACAAAGCATTTAGTATGCAACTGTACATTATTGCCAGGTAAATCCATCAATAAGAAGCGATTGTGAAGGGGAAATGAATTTCCTCAAACGTGTTCTATACAACAAAATATTCTGGTCTTGTATCACATCACATTGACTAGGGAGCTATCCTGCCCTCTTTCCAATAAGCAGCCAGAAACCCACAAACTTCATTTTCACATTAGGTACTCAGCACCACATCTACTTATGCTTAGAATAAAGGCATTATCTCAGAACAAGATTCAAAGGTATTGGGTGTGGACTGTGGAGGAAGGCAAACAAACTCAAACAAAGAAAGAGGGGGAGAAAGAGAAAGATAAATATTTTCTTACCATGTAAAAATAATTGAGAGGAACAACAAATCAGTTAAAGATTGAAAACAGAAGAAAGCAAACCTCAGGATCACTATTGAACTCTCTGACAGCCCGGTCTCTCGCAGCCAAAGACATACTACCATCAAGCCTCCGATATTGGAGGCAATACAGATTTAAAGAATACTCGAACAAATCCAGCATACGCGTCCACTGAGAGAAAACAATGGTTTTTATTGGTCCTTGTGAAGATGAACCCTCCATTTTCTCAGTTCTCACTTGTGAGGATGAACTCTCCATTTTCTCAGTTCTCACTTGTGCAGACACAGAATTCTCTTTACTTGTCTCCCCCAGCTCATCAACCTCTATACATTTACTGTTTAATTCACAATGAGAGAACAGTATCTCTAGCGCTGCCTTAATTTTAGAGGAGCTATACTCATTACTGAGTATTGATAAAGTCTTGGAGCTACCATTGTCAGTTAAAATATTGCCATCATCACCAGAAACACAACTTATTAGGGTAGCCTCTGAGAAGAGAACATCATCACTTAGTTGTTGCTTGCATTTACGAGCAGGGCACAGATTGTCATCACCATTTAGATAGTCTGCCACACATTGGTAGCAGAAAACATGCCCACAGATGGTCACAACAGCATCC